AGACTGTGCTGGGGGGGCTGCCAGACCTTGCGTGGGTACAGTCATTGCTCACCACACCATGGATGCTGGAGGAGAGGGGAGGACGAATGGGTGTGAGGACACAGAGGTGTGGATGAGATTTAGTGAAAAGGAGAACATTTGAAAAAGGGAGAGAGCTCTACAGAAAGAAACGAGGGGACTGGCTAGGTGGTACAGATGCAGCAGTGGGCCAGGTAGGGTTAACTCCTTTCCACTCAGAGAAAAGATCTCTGTTGTTGCATACAGCCATGGAGGCAGGAAGGGTGTGCCTGGGTTCACAGAGAGCAGCACTACATCTGTCAACTCAGTGAGATGAAGAAAGGCAGAAACAGAGATCAGGTGGAAAGGGACGGAACAGAGTAAGCGTTCAATAAGGAAGAACAAAGAAAAATCCTTACAGAGCCCACGATAGCTGGGGCGACAGTGCTGTTGATATGATCCACGGCCTGCAGGACCCCTAAAGAAGGGAATAGACAGAGAAAGAAGGAGAGAGACAAAGGTTGAGGCAAAGAAGAGAATGAAGAGAGGGAGGGTGAAGACCAATAGAAAGGCTGAGAGGGGGAAATGGGGAGGGAAGGTCGAGGCCTGACATTTCACTTGACTCTGGATCAGTGCCTGGAAGGTCCCATGGAAGATATGTTTCATTAGTGGATGGGTGGTACCCTCTGGTGAAGCCCCATGTGTGGCAGCCCCAGGTACAGAGTGTGGAGCAGACACCTCCCCACCTTTTCCAAGGAAACGTGACTTGTCATTATCTCGTAGCTCCAATGCTTCATAGATACCAGTGGATGCTCCGCTGGGGACCGCTGCTCGAAACATGCCTGAGGGACAGCAAAACATGTGTATGAGTAGAGCAGAGGATTAAAAGGAAGGAAAGCCCTCAATGCATCTGTCTTTATTCTACTTTAAGGAAAGGATACAGCCACCCGCCTCTGCCAACGGATAGCCCCACTGGCTGGCTGCTCATGGCTAGTCTTCTCAGAGGTGAACACCTCCCAGAGGTGGAATAGCAGAGTGTCTGACAAAAAGAAGTCCACCCAATGTTTTCAGACTGGGAAACCTGAATCTCAGCCATGCAGAGGTCTATGCCAGTCCCAGAACTATAAATGATGTGCAGAAATCCCTTGTCCTGCTACCCCTGCCTGCATCCTTCCACAGGCAGCCCTACTCACAGTTGTCAGAGGCTTCCTCCCCTTTTGTCCGGGGCTGGATTTTTACCTTGGTGAAGGAGCAAGAGGATGGATGCTTGCTCTGGTCACTCATACTACACACATATCTCATCCGACTTAGCTTTCAGCCCAACGTAGCTGCAGTTCTTCCAGATGAAACACATAATTGAACACACAATTGCACACATATCTCATAAACAAATCTTCCCTCAACCTCAAGAGCATGGCTGTGGAAGCATTTCCAAATATGCCCCAGGAGAGAAAGTATAGCTGCAGGAGAGCATTGTGTGGATAGGACAAGAGGGTAAATATGTCCATTTTAATGAAACTAACTGTCTCTGTTACAATCAGACATGGGGCAAGCCACACACACAGCAGTCAGCAGTCACTGTGCATGTCATGCAGGACCACAGGTAGATTCCAGGAGATCTATCTCCCTGGCCTGATGTCTCTGGCTGCTCACTGGAGCACCTTCAGTGGGAGATCCTCCCTGCTCTCAGCTGCTCTGCAGATCCAGCCCCTTCAGCAAGGCAGGATTTCCCCTTCATCTCTCATCTTCACCTCGTACCTTTGTGCGTGTACAGGTCCACCTCTACAGTGGGGTTCCCACGAGAATCCAGGATCTCTCGGGCATGGATCCTCTCGACTGCCATGGTGACTCTGTGTAAAGGAGAGGAAAGGACATGCTCAGTTCTGAGCTGTCCTGCAAGATCTCAGACGCCCTAGGGACCTGGTGCTCACCCTTCAAATGTCTAGGCAGAGAAAAGGATGCTCAACAAAGATCTACATTAGGGACTGAAGTTCAAACTCCAAGGAAATTTAGACTCGAGGAAATTTAGACTAGAAGGGAGTTATGAAAAATGTAATCCAAAGCCCAGAAAGTAAGAAGCTATTCATATTCTCTTCAGGAACTGATGCTGAATCCCATCCTTTCACTACATATAACAAAGTAGGAGTTTTCCCTCTTTTCCCGTATGGCAGCCATGTGCCCCCTTCCCAGCATGGCTGACTTACAGGGGGCCATAGCACCAGGGGCTCTGGAGAGATCACAACCCTGGCACCAGGACTCCCAGAAACGTCCATCTCCTCACAGGTATGACAGATCCCTGCTGGGCCCTGGGCAGCACCTGCCTTGGCCTTGCCTCACTCCTCCGTGGCTGGCACCCTGCAGGGCATGGCTGCAGTCTATACCAGGGACTGGGCCAGCCAAGCTGAGACCAAGCAGCCAGAGGCTATGGCGCCTGATGAAGGGTAGGAACAGCTCTGAGGACAAGGGGAGGGAAACTGGGCAGGCTAAGATGCTGAGTTTGACCCCAGCTCATGACCCCCATACACCAGAGGAATGTAGGCACAAAAGACCTTGAGGCATCTCTGGCAGGACCGTGTGAGATTTGGCATGTTGGATGCACTCAGTGAAACCTCGGGTGGGAAACAGGCTTGTGGTTGAGCACAGCAGTTTGGGAGAGGCATTTTTTGCTGAAATTAATTTCCAAGGTTCTCCAGAAGAGGTCTGCCCCCCTTCCTGCTTCCCCTAGCTGGCCTTGCAAGTCTCCCTGCTTCCACCAGCAGGCAGTAGGGCAGTGCAGTGTAGGGAGCAGCCTTGCTGGGAGCGGGCAGCATCTGCTGACTGCCTCTTTCTGCCACCCCTGCTTCACTAGGCTTTCTGCCACTGGCTCCCCAGCTTATTCATTCAAAACAGAGCAGAGCTGGAACCACAAAAAATGCAGTGTGGAGTCCAGGCCCAGGGGCAAGCATGGTGCAGTTGGTGCTTTTTCAGGGCAGAATTATGCCTCGGGCTGCAGGCAAGGATACAGCTGACATTGTCTCTCAGCACAGGTGTGTTTGCTGGGGGGTGCTGCAAATAGGGCATCACAGCAAGGAGCAGGGCTAAGAAACAGGCTGGGGAAGATAGTCAGTTCCCAGTCCCATGGCCTCTGGTACATGGAAATCACACGGTTTGGGGAAATCACACTGCTCTGGAGTTTCAGCATAAGCTTGTGACGCTGGGAAGGTTAAGTGGGGGGAAACCAGGGCTCTCTGGAACCCATGCAGGGCCCATCTGGGTTGGGATCCCCCTCAGCCACACTGGCAGCATTTCTCATGCCATCTGGCCTGCACTGCAGGAGCTTCCTCCAGAGCCATGCCTGCACAGCTGTGAGCTTCTTCGCAGCAGTGCCCTGGCCATACCCCTGTTAAAATGACCTACGGCACAGCAGGGGTCTGACAACAAGACCTGTGCCAGATGCAGTGCTTACATGATCATGTTGTCCCTGGTTACATGCCTCTGCTTGCATCCACCTACCCCTGTTTGAGCCAGCTCCAAGGATGCCAGATGACGAGCCCAAACCCAATCTAGCTGGCTCCATCCCATCATTTACTGGATCTCCTCATTCACCTTTAGTTCTCTACACCCTTTTCTCCACTTCTGCAGTTTCCCCATGTCCCTCTCTGCTTGGCCTCTGCTGAACCACTCTGAAATCCCTAGCATCAGCTGCACTGTCCTGAAAGCAGGTCAGAGGCGGATAAGCTGGGATAAGGGATTGGGACAGAGCCAATCGGAAACCCATTGACACAGTGAGAAGAAGAGCAGCCAGGTTGGAGGCTGGACTGCCTCCCTCAAGCAGGGGCTGAGCAGGGTACTCTGGCATGGCGCTGCTGCAGTGCCTCCCACGGGCACCGCTTCATGCAGCACAAGCCGCCAGGGCACTGCCTGACCCTGCTGCAGCAATCCCCCAGCCTTCCTAGCAGGACAGCACTGCAGAGACCTTTCCCCAAGGCACGGCCACCAGTCCTGCGTGCTGGGGCCCCGGTGCAGCTGCCACCCCCCCCGGCTAGGCACTGCTCCTAAGGAAGCCCGCACTGCTGCAGTGTCGTGGCTGATGCAGCTCTCGCTTGCTTGACTGTCACCTCCTCTCCCTGCTGCCCCCCCTCACCCTGTGCGGTGTGGGGCGGCGATAAGAAAACATCCCTCCTCCTCCCTCCTTCTCCCTGGGACTGGGCTTCGCTCTCGTGTTTGCGTCGACACCTCGGTAGTTTGGGAGGGATCTGCTCCGAGGTTGGGTCCTTTCCCCAGCAAAATCCAGTGAGCTTTACCTCACACCACTACCAGCCCCCTCCCCCAGGTAAAGCTCCATCTCAGCGTCTCCCCGCAGCGCCTATGCTTGTCGGTTGCCCCCCCTTTTGAAATTCCCCAGACTCATATTTGAAATGATCCTTGCCGGGGATTGGGAAGGAGGGAGTACCTGAAATTAAAATATGAAAGAAACGTGAGAAGGGTGGGGGTGAGGAGAAAGGAGTGGGAGGAGCAGGTGGAGGAAGTGAGGGGAGTTTAATTGCTAATGCCGCTCACAACGGTCCTTTTCTACAGGGACACAAGTGCGTGTAGGGTTTGGAGGGCACGGAGTGGGGAGCAGAGGCACGCATGCAGTGAGGGAGGGCTGGCCACGGGGAGACACTTACCTTCCTAGAGCAGGGGTGAACGAGAGACTGAGAAAGTGCTGGTAGAGAGGAGAGAGGACGGAGCTGAGGAGGGATGCAGGACCTCAAGGGGAGATGATGTGTCCTCTAAGCCAACGGCGGCGGCGGCAGCAGCAGGATGGAGACGCCCCTGATAGGGCCGGGACAGCAGCATGTGACCCAAAGCTGCGATGAGTCAGGATTTAGCAAAGCTTTGCAAACAGCACGTAGGGGATGGAGAGAAAGAGAGAGAGAGCCAGACTGGGGACAGACAGATGAGGGCGAGAGAGCTAAGGAATAGGAGTGGGTGGGCAGGATAAACAATTCCAGATACTCAAGGTTCATTAAATATTTTTATCCAAATAAGAAAATCATGTAGAATTTCTTTGAGCCATAAATCAAACTACGCAATTTTGTAACCCCCTTTTCCCTCTTGGGACTACTTGGAGTATGTACGTGCAGAGACTGTAAAAACACTGCAGTAACTGAAGGCAGCGTCCAGGACACTCCTCTCTTCTTCAGGCAAAATGAGGTGAACCTCATACCTATAGCTTTTGCTTTGGACATGGGAAGATGCATCCCCAAATCTTCACAGGGAATAGGGATTTAAACCAGAGGTCGTTCAGTCACATCACCCTGGAGAGATACCTCCATTTCCTGAAGAGGGAAAGAGGGAAAAGTTAAATAACTCCATGCCTGACTTCTTTTCCTCTTTCATCTCACACTTGTGCTGCTGGGGCCAGGGATGGCAATCAGGCTGTGAAGCCTGTTTTCAGTTGTATGCTGCTCTGCCCTTGGGACTGACCTCCCTCAGCCGTTTCATCATGCAGTTCACAGGAGGAGGGGCTTACCAGCACATCTGATCTTATGTCTTTCACATTCTTGTCCATACCTTTTCCTCTTCCTGCCTTTTCTAACAGATTTCATTTGCCTCTGCATGCTAATTTTCCTCAACTGGTTCCTTGTCGAGGCGCTTCAGGTGTGGCAGTTGGACCAGGACCTCCTGCTGGTAGTTTGTTTCATCAGAGCATGGATTGTCCATCAGCACCAGGGCCTGCAGCATGGGGAGCACCTGCAGTTTTGCCACTTCCTGCAAGCTACTGATTCCATTGTTCCTAAAGAAAAATCAGCACAGTGTGCAGAAGAAAGAGATCCATATAAGTCCTAACAATAAGGATTTCTTTGTGTTCAAACAGTGTATTGAACAGTCTGACAATGCCACCTTCTGTACAGCAAGCACTTGGAAGAAAAGGACACTGGTGGTCATGGCCAGGACACAGAGAACAGGTGGAGAGGGATGGAAAAAGAGTTACAGCAAGATATAAAAAGTATGGTATGGAGTCTGAGAGCAACTGGAGAGGCAGATCTTTTCCAAGAAGCTTGGAAAAATCCTGGGTGGGAAACTGGTAGAAAACTGAGCCCTGAACACCAGTTAAAAGCTGTAAAGATCAATCCAACCCATTCCCATCAGGTCTTCAGCTTCCAGAGAAAACAGAAAATCCTAAAGATGTAAATGGGAGTACAGCCTGATGAACTGGTGTCTAGTCCTGACACGAAGCAGGGAGGACCCACCGTAGATTGAGGTACTGCAGGCACTTCATGCTGCTAGAGAATCCATCCAGGGTCTCAAGCTCATTGTCACGCAGGTGCAGAGTTGACAACTGCTCTAGTGCCTCAAGGCCTTCAAGGCTCCTAATGGCATTCTGGGCCTAAGCAGGGACATAGGAAGTGAGAATGAAAAAAAGGTGCACATGGCAAAGGGAACAGCAGTTATTTCTGTTCTGTCTAGCTCTTTCTACTCTTCAAACTTCCTACCACTGCTAAGCAACCTTCTCTGAAGCAGGGCATCATACATACATAACAATGTAGGGAGGCTACCTGGCAGTGACAGATAGTATGGTCTCAAGCCAAATCAGAAATTGCACTGGAATTTTAGAGATAGAGGACAGAATACCTAGAGAACATGTCTGCAGCTCTTGCTTGTACCTCTGATCAGGACAATGGTTAGACTCACAAAGAGTTAGATGGGAAAGGACCTTTGCAAGTCTCCATGCAGCATCCTGCCTGCAGCCAGGATAACTACAATGCTACACACATCAGGTTGCTCAGGGCCTTACTAAAAGAATTCTGAGTATTCAGGTTCAAGAACCAAATGCCTGCTGAAAAAGAGTTCCCTGCAGCATCATTTAGTGACTGGGACATGACCGCCCCAGATGAGTAATTCCAACACAGCCTCTAGTTATGCAGGGATGCAGACATGCCATGATTCAAATTTACCAGAGCATGCCATCTGAGCCACCTGCTTTACTTCCAGCAAAACACCCCTTCCACAGCAGTGCCTCATCTGAGCCCCTAAGGCCTCAAAGAGTGACAACGTGGAACAGAAAGCAAAGACCTAAGTCAGCTGTATTTAAAGGATAATTATCTGCTCCTCTCAGTCATAGAGTCCAGCAAACTTCCACTTTAGCTGCTTCTTTTATGGGAGAAATCTACTACCAAGAAGTCTACTCTTCTGCTCCTCTATGACCAGAAGCAGGCTGCATGATCCTGACAGAGGTTACAGAGAAGTGGGGGTTGTCAGTTGATTTAAGAGCGTCTTAGTACAATATTTATTAGCTACCCATAAGTACAATTTCTTGCAAATAAATAAATAAAAAAAATAAAATTGACAACTTAGGGCAGGAAAAATATCTTACCAACTCAAAATTCCCTATCTACTTCATTCAGTTATAAGATGGGGAAAAACGAAGTTCTTAAATTCAGTAATAGTTTTACAGCACAATTTTGACTATAAAATTCCACTCAAAGCCTCCTGTCCATCCCTGGATTAACAGCAGTGCTAGCACCAAAGCTGGATCTGATTGCTCATGGCCTTGTGCAGCTAAGTTTGCAAAATCCCTGGCAATTACATTATCCCTACCACATCTTTCAACCCAGAGATAAGCAGGACTTCACTTGTGATTGTGGCTTAGCGTTGTAGTTTCTAAGGATGCAGATACATGAACAGGACACAGGGAGAGAGGTTCCTATCCTGGTTTCAACTGACATAGAGCTAATGTTCTCCATAGTAGCTGTCACCGTGCCATGTTTTGAATTGAGGATGAGAATAATGTTGATAACACTCCAATGTTTTAATTGTTTCTGAGCAGTGCTGCGCAGAGACATCTCAGCTTCTCACAGTGTCCTACCAGCGAGGAACCTGAGAGGCACAAGGAGCTGTGAGGAGACAGAACCAGGACAGTCCCAAACTGGCTAAAGGTATATCCAACACCATTTGGCATCACACTGAACTATAAGACTGGAGGAGTTGGCCAGGGTGTGCTCCTGCTGCTCAGGAACAGGCTGGGCATTGATCAGGGGGTGATGAGCAATTGCATTATGCAACACTTTCTTTGTGGTTTTTTTTTTGTTTTTTTTTTTTTTAATTCCCTATTCTGTCCTATAAAACTATTTTTATCTAAAACCACAAGTTTTACTTTTTCCCCTCAGTTTTCTCCCCCATCCTACCAGGGAGAAGGAGTGAGCAAAAGGCTGTGTGGTGCTTAGCTGCCTGCTAAGCTAACCCACAATAGTGCTACTGCACTCTCTGTTCCTTTTTTGTTACTTAAGCAGTGATGAAGTCAGTGCCCAAATCTAACAAAAGGGGAACAGTCTCAACTGGTGGGACAGGAGAGCCGTTTAGGGCAGGGTCACTTATGAAAAGAATGTTTTGTGGAAAATGAAGACTTCATTGGAATCTGGGCAAAGGAGACTCTGAAGCAACTGGGCCAAGAGGGTAACACTGAGAAAAAGAGGAAAGTCTGAGATTTAGTGAAGGTCCTGTAAACAAATTTAAAAAGCCAGGATGGATTTGTAAACCTCACTTCAGAGGAAATCAGGAGCTGATGTCAAAATCAGGGTGGGGAGCTCATAGACCACTAGTCTGTGAAATGAGTAGCAACCTACTATCACTCCCACTTGCTCCATTACATCAGCGTGAACAGTTTCAAAGGCTCCAGCCATGCAGTGCTAACAGGACAATGCAGAACAGATTTTTGTTCTTCCTTTTTTTCTAAACTCAAAGAGCACTCACAATGACACCTTTATTTGAATGATCACATCATCACCTCACCTTCTATAACAATTCTTCACATACAAACAAAACCATCATTTCTTAGTGAAAGCTAATACAATACGTTGCCCATGCTGTAGCTAGCCTTGTCAGCAGTACTGCTTAATGACTGCTTAATGAACAGGAAGTAACACAGACCTATGCTTTGGACAGCAGTGAACCTAAAATGGATGCTGATTGAAGCACCACATGGTTCACAATCAGCCTCTGGTTTTCCTGCTGGTGGGCAGAACTTTGTGAATACTGAAACTATGTCATATATTAACCAAATCTCATTCAGTTACTTTAAGCTGACCTTTGAATTCCTATTTGATGGGTGCACTGAACCCTGTCCTTGCAACATCAGTTTTATCTACCTATGGCTCAAGTAACACCAACATGTTTCACTGAAAGCAAAGTAGTACTGGGAGAGATCCCCCTCCAAAATGATTTGATGAGCAGGTGAACATGGGGAACAAATTCAAGCTCACAACATTTCTGAGACATTAATTGGTTGTTCTAGTTTTAATAATCTTGTCCTGCAGTTTGCCTGTTTCAGATGTGTGGCTCAGGAATTCTTCAATTATGTCTCTCACTTTAAATACAGGTGTTGCTTTTGTTTAACTCAGTCACGCGCTAACATGGCTTGTTTTACTTAGAAATTCTATATTGTACCTAGTGACTTATCCACTCCATCCCTTCTTCCAGCACCAATTGTCCTAAGACTTCAGCTCTACAACAGAAAATAGCAGACAACCTCAGCTAGCAATCTCCTCAGTGCTTTCTGCCAGGGAGTACCGATGAAAAGAAACCCTAAAGCTTTTATCATCTTTAATTGGTTTTTCAGAGGTAACGACTCAGGATCACTATCAAGTCTTTGCAAGAAATAGTACTGTGTGATTCATGGGAGTAAGCCAACATACTTCCTTCATTTGTGTCTCAAGCAGTAAATGGTCCCTAAGCAACTGCTTACAGTAGAAGAAAATTGCTTCTTCTTAGTTTCAACTGAGATATTCAATCAGGTTTTTTTGGCAGCCCAACATGTGAATCATATCTCTGTGCTGCTATACCCATACTCAATTAGGCCCATCAGAGAGAAGAAGGAGCTGCTGGCTATAGGTATTGGGTTAGATAGAGATCTCAAATAGGTAACTGTGCACATGGAAGTGTGGACTGAATAGGCAGAAAGTTATTTCATATTATTACTAATTGAGAAGTGGGCCCAGAGGAGGGCCACAAAGATGATCAGAGGGCTGGAGCACCTTCTCTACAAGGACAGGCTGAGAGAGTTGGAGCTCTTGAACCTGGAGAAGAACAGGTTCCAGGAGAACCTCATAGCAGTCTTCCAGTATCTGAAGGGAGCCTACAGGAAAACTGGGGAGAGACTTTTTAGAAGGATCGGTAGCAACAGGATGAGGGGAAATGGCTTTCAACTGGAAGAGGGTAGATTTAGACTAGGTACTAGGAAGAAATTCCTTACTGTGAAGGTGGTGAAATGCTGGAACATTCATGTTCTACAATCACCTTCCTGTGTGTAATCCAGAGAACACCTACTGCTTTCTCCACTGACCTTCATGTTCCTGGGAGACATGGAGTGTGACCTTGTCTAATGCTGCCAGGAAGAGAACACAGCTCTCCCTTAGGTGCCTGCGAAGGGAGAATGCAACATACCAAGCACTGCCAATCTCCCTGCTCTCTGCAGAACAATTACTGGTCACTTGCTACTGCCTTTGCACTATTTTAACAGATATTATAGAAGGATCCACCCCAAAGGAGAGACCTTAGCCTCTTTAGCTCTGTGAAATCTGTTCCTTTCAGGCTGTGAAGACTGAACTGAATAGGTTAGCATGTATGCTATGATGTCTGGAACGGGACTGTGTATTCTCTACTCCCACTGACTGAAGGTGCCAACCTCTGCAGCATCTCAGTCCCACTTCCCATGCTGGCTGATCCCTTACCAGATAGAGGTACTTGAGCTTGGGAAGGTAAAGCCCTGCTGTGCTCTCTAGCTTGTTTCCTCGCAGCTCCAGGATACGCAGGCTATGCAGTGCTTGACTCAGACCCAGTGCTGTCTGAATTTTATTTCCTGAGTGCAAGAGGATGAAGAAATAATGACAGTTAACACCACTCAAAGAGAGTTTTCCATGCACACAGCAATGAAGAGAGTAGTCTGTACCACCTTTAAGGCTGAGGCTGGCTAAGTGGGGGTGAGTAATGCCCTCCATATTCTTGATGCGGTTGTGAGCAAAGCTGATGATCTGGAGGTAGGGAAGCTCCTGCATGTGGGCACTGGTAAGCAGATTCCCATCCACCTTCAGCCAAAGCAGGTGGGTTAGGCTGCTCAATGGAGACAAATCCTGCAGCTTGTTCTCTGACAAATCCACATACCGCAGGTGAATGAAACGTTCAAGGAGGCTGATGTCTGTCAAGTCCCTGTGGAAGGGACAAAGTGAATAAAACACCTCTCACTTCCTCCCGTTACCAGCCTTCAGTTTGCTTCTCACTATGGTGGGAGGGAGGGCCCCCTCCTCTCCCATCTCTCTGCTGTCCTACAAAGCCTTGTGTGAAGGAGGAAAAAGGCAGGCAATAGGGATGGGCCAAAGATGCTGTAAGCAAGGCTGAATGTCAAGGAGAGGATATTCCTTCCTGGCACAGACAGTACTTCTTCCCATTGAACTGTAGCTGTCAGGAAAGGGAAGAACCAGAGTAAAAAGCCTGGGGAGAAGGGGGGAGGGGGGGGGGGGAGAGTGTCTTTTAGACAGCAGGGGCAATCCAAGGCTGTGTGTAATGATTTTCCTAGTAGGGAAAAGCCAGTAGTCACCTAGACTGGCCTTACTTTGTGAGGTGTGCTATGTCTAGAGTTCTCTGGGGGTACTGATGGGGCTGAGGCTCCAAACTGTTCCATGGCATTGTACTTTTAAGCGTGTATGTTAACCAGTCATACGCAGAGATGCTTAATGGATGTTTCTTGGACTGTTTGCAGTGAGGGTGTCCCATTCAGGTCCCCTTAGGAGATCAAAGTCCAGAGCACCCAATAAGCTCCCACAAGCCCAGGGGTCACTATTATGCCCCACACATCCATGTGTCTGGCTACAGTGGAGGCGGTCCCCAGTTCAGGCCTTGCCTGGAAGCAAGGCAGGTGGAGAACGTGCCCTGTGACACTCCTGCCCCACAGTCCAGTCACTGGTGGCCTTAGGTACCACCAGGATGGCTACTCAGACACGTTATGAGGAGGATCCCTTCTCCTGCACGTGCGTTGCACACTCACTTATACTTGGCTTCAAACTTCACATAAGCGTGCGCCAGGCCGTTGCCAATTTTGCAGAGGAGGGAGAGGCCCTCCTTCAGCATCTCCTCCGTCAGGGGACACGCGGCCAGCACCTGGGGGAGAGAACCCAGCAGAGCTGAAATGACGGACGGAGGGGGGGGGGGGGGGGGGGTACAAGGCCAGCTGCCCCCGCCCGCCTCCTCACCTGCTTCTCCTCCTCCTCCTCTTCTGACAGCGTCTTCCTCCCCCCTCTCTCCTCCTCCTCCTCTTCCTCGTCATCCTCCTCCCCCTCGTGACCGAGGAACTCCTCCTCCGCGCTCAGCCCCCCGCCCTCCATCTCCTCGTCCCGCTCCCGACGACAGCCAGGCCTCACGGCGCCCCGTGCCCGCCGGGCCGCGCCGCTGCCATGGGAACGGGGGCGGGCCCCGGCACCGCTCCCACACAGCCGCGCTGACGGCCGGTTCCGGCCTCCCCGGTTCCCGTATGTTCCGGGCCGCGTTCCGGTTGGCGCCGAGTCGCTATCGGAAGCGCCGTAGGACCGCGATGGCCGAGGCCCGGCCCGAGAGACGTGGGATGAGGCCGCTGGCACGGCGTGAGCGCGCTGTGCAGAGCCGCGCGTGTTGGCCTTCCGCGCTGACGTGCGTGTGCGATGTGTGCCTGCGCGATGTGTGCCTGTGAGCGAGTGCCGGCCCTTCCTGGCCCCCGGCGGGCCCGGTGAGGCTCTCAGCGCACTGCCCTTAGGTTAAGGTCCAGCCCCTGTAGTTCTCGCTGAGGGTGAGGAGCTGGCAGTGACCCCACTCCACGGAGCGGGAGCATAGATCCTTCCTGCCAGAAGGCAGGCAAAAAGAAGAAAGCCACAATGTTCCTGCTGATGCGGAGGTTATTGTCCGCTTCGTTCCTCACTAAATGAATGGTTCTGCGCCTCTGCGTTCTCCTGAATACAGCAAGCGTGATGCACATCTCCCATGTTTTTCCTATGTAGGTCACTCTCCCGGTCTCTTGCAGAGCTGCTCTCCGAACAGCGCTGGACAGCAGAGCTGGCAGCAGTGCTCCAGCCTGGGCCCATCCAATCCAAGGCACAGCTCCATCTCTGCAAGTCGCTGCTGCTGTGACAGTGCTGTGTAGGGCCAAACTAAGGCCATGCCCCAGTAGCCTTTCAAATACTTTGCTTGCAGAAGCCACAGATCTTAGGATCTTTTTCCTCCATGTTTTAACTTTTGAAACATTTTTTCTGCACACCTCTTTCCAGACACCTAGCCACTACATGCTCTGTCTCCACCAGCACGCCTTCCTTTCCTCCTCAGGTCAACTTTCCTACTTGATGGGATTCTCACTGGCCAGGCAGCCTCACCAATTAATTAAGGATTATTACTACCTTGCAGCAGCAGTTTCACCAGCTTGCTTTACATCAGCCTGCAGCCATTGCTCACACTTGTGCTGGCTCACCTAGCCAGCAGCCACCACCAGGGTGACAGTGACAGGAAGATCACTCATTAGTGAGACACCCAGGTGCTCTGGCAGCTACTGAAATGTACTGCAGTATATTAATCATCACAGAACAGAAGAGGAACTGCAACAGTAAATAAAGGTTCTCTGGGCTATGTTCTAGGTGAGAACTACAGTGAGAAGATACACGTTGCACTTGTGCAATGCTTGTTGGAGCAACAAGGAAATGGAGCAGTATAAGAAGAAAAAAATGTAACAACCAACCCCCCCCACTAAAACCTCACAAAGACAGAACACCCAAACATACTGCTCTCCCTGCAGCTAGCTATCCCCAAAGTACTCCAGCTTATCTGTATACATCTTGCCCTTAATTGCTTCTGAGTAAGAAACAGGACACACTTTTCTTCCTTTTCATTTATTGTTCAATACAGGACATCAGTGAGGTAAGGTGTCTCACAAGGGTCTAAGCTGCCAGGCTCCTTGCAGATGGAGCTGAAGGATGCAGAGGATGGTGGTTCCTTTTTTCCTCCCCCCAGTACTAGTGGCCCTCCCTCCCTGCAGGGCTGCAAAGAGAGAGAGGCAATGGCCAAGTTGACTGTGGGCTCTAACAGCTCAACAGATAACCAAGGATTTTGCCAGTTCAGAAAGGAGACTCTGCTGAGATGGGCTCACACTAATGGGACTCCAACAAGGTGGTGGGGGTTAGCAGCACAGCTAGAACAATGATTGTGGTGGTGGGGGAAAGCCTCAGAAGAAGCCTCTGTACCGAGACACGTGCAACGAAAGGTCCCTTCTTGCTTCAGTTTCTTGCTCTTAACCGTAAGGGACTGCTCCTCACAGGCTGCTTTAATGTTTTGCATTGATAATATCCACAAATTCCGGCTTGAGAGAAGCCCCACCAACAAGGAAGCCATCTACATCATGCTGAGAGGCCAGTTCCTTACAGTTGGCACCAGTGACTGAACCTAAAGAGGGAACAGGATTAAGAGTTCAGATGTGGCAAACCCAAAACGGCAATAACACAGAGTTAAAACCTGCAGGATACTAGCCATTCTGTAAATCGTGAGACCATCTCCCATTTACCTAAAGAAGCTGGTAAGTGGTTCTTCAAGCTCTGCTAGTCTCATGTTTCCTCAGCAGAGCAGAGCATGCTGTACAACAGCAGCAAGCAAAAAAATTAAACTTCAGCCTCAAAGACACTACAGACTCATTTACCTCCATAGATAATCCTAGTTGACTGAGCAACAGCATCAGACACGTGGCTTTTGAGCCAGCCCCTCAGCTTCTCATGAACTTCCTGAGCCTGCAATGAAATAGAAATAGGAACTGGCGCCTGAACCATCCTGCATACAACTCCCTTCCAAAGAAGGAACTGCCCTGTTCCATCTTCAGGGAGACCTCTTGAGTGAGGTCAGACAGTCATTTCATCAGCCACCTTTCCCTTGCTAATACCTGTTGGGGAGTAGCAGTTTTACCAGTTCCAATAGCCCAAACTGGCTCATAGGCAAGAACCACCTTACTCCAGTCCTTCACATTATCTGAGGGGAGAGAAGAAAGTATACATGAGTACAGTACCTCATGTTGGGAAGGGTAGATCTGGGAAGTTTCCTGCAACATGCAGACCTTTTAATAACATGACCACTGTTTGTTAACATTTGTAGCAATGTATCTGAAAGCCTTCAAGGAAGGCCAGGAACAGACAGTTATGGCCATAATGGCCATTTCCCAGCTGTCCAAAGTAAGAAGTCAATTTTCTTCCCTTACCAGCAATAGCTTTGGTCTGTTCAAAGACCACCTTTTCCGTTATGCCAGCTTCTCTCTCATCCAGCTTCTCCCCAATGCAGGCGATGACACCAAGGCCCTCAGCAAGGGCATGAGCCACCTTCTGCCCAATCAACTGGGAATGGAAGAGAAATAAGATGAGGCAGTCAGACCCGCTCCTGTACCCACCTTTCCCAAACTGCTCACTTCTCCAGCCTTCACAGAATTATCTGTTCGGTACCACCTTCCCTCTCCAGAGTCTCTCACCTCATCAGACTCTCCAAAAACATGCCTCCGCTCTGAGTGGCCCAGGATCACCCACGCAGCTCCAATATCTTTGATCATTGCTGGGCTGATGAGAAAGCAAATGAAGGTTTTGACTCACTGGCCTCCTCTCCAGAGGAAATTCACTTTGCAAAGCAATGCTGGCTTAAATCTTCACTTTGGGCTCACCTGATCTCTCCTGTGAAAGCACCCTTCGGTACCTTGTAACAGTTTTGTGCTGCAACTCCAATCTTTGCATCAAGCTTCTGGCGGGCAAAATCAAGGTAGATTGAAGGGGCTCCACAAACCACCTCTGTAAGGCAGAAAGGTCACTCATCAGAAGGCCAAGGGATAGAAACCACACGCAACCTTTGGCCCCATAGCCCAACCCTGAGAGGCTACTCTTCCCCCTCCCCCACTTGGTGGAGGTTCAGCCTGCCCTGCTGACATTTGGGGGACCCACAGAGTAGGACCATCCTCCCTACTATCTGATGACTCGACAGCGGAGGGGAAACTCATTCCAGGGGTCAGAAAGGGGGGGAGTCGGGCAGAGAGCCAGGCTTGCAGCCAGTTCACACGGGGTCCCTTGGAAACATCCCAGCCGAGAAACCGGGCAGGAATCTCGTCCGGCCGCAAGGCTGAACCGGGGAGAAAAGGGCAGCGTCGGGTTACACGTGGATTACAGCCGGGCATCGCACCGCGGCAGGCTAGGCACGCCGCTGGAACCCGCTGCACAGCGCGGTGACCTCGGCCCAAATATCGCGCCCCCGACCCCTGGCGCGGGGTAGGGCGGCAGGCCGTGGGCGCAGGGACGGGGCCGCGGGGACAGCAGCTCCGCGCGAAGGAGAGCCCGGAGGGCCCCGACCGCCCGCCGCGGGCTCCTCGCGGGGCCCGGCCCGCAGATCCCCGCCGCCCCGGTGGACGGAGGCCGCCCGCATCCGGCGGTGGGGGGGGGGGATGCGGTGCCCTTCAGCGGCCGGGATCCGGTGTCGCGGTATTTTTAGCCCCGCCGCGGGGTTAAGTTTCGGCCCCGCCGCCCCCTGACATTTCCCGTGCCCCGGCCGGGCCCCGCCGCGCGGGACGTGCGCTACGTGCGGCCGCGGCCGCGCCCTCCCTCACCGGTGTCGGCCGAAAGCTTGGCGCCGTTCAGCGTGTGGATGAGCTCGCCCAAGCTCTTCTTGTCGCCGTTCATCTTCCAGTTGCCACCCACGAAGAACTTCCTGGGAGCCATGGCGGAGGCGACGGGCGTGAAACGGCAGCGACACAGGCGAAGGTCGGCGACGGCACGCAGCCTGCGGCGGCCGCTTTTATAGGCCGGCGGGGCGCGAGGCCCCGCCCCCCAGTAGCCCCGCCCCCCGGTAGCCCCGCCCCCCCGGGTCCCGGCAGCCGGGCGGCCTCCGCTCGGAGATGGCTGCGGCGGCTCCTCAGAAGCGCGGCGCCCGCACGGAAGCTCCGTGCCCCCCCCCGCACGAGACCCGCGCAATCTCCCTTCTCCGCACAGAAGCTCGTACCGCGGCAGTGCCCGAATTTCGGCTCGCGGGGCCCCGGCTACACAGAACACGCCAACCAGGACTTATTTCGACTTTTATTTTGTCCCTCGTGTATTTTGGCATGTGAAGGGCACGCGGAGGGGGGGGGGGGGCACCGCTCACGGCCCGCGCTGCTTCCCGTGCTGCCCCCTCGCTGGGAGGACAGGCAGAAAGCGCCGCCCGAGCCACACGCACGCACGCGTCCTGCCCTTGCGGGAAGCAAGGAGCTGGCGTCCCCCCCCAGCAGCAAAGCCAAGGGCTGTGCAGCGGAGTGCGGGTAGTGAAGGTACGTCCTACAGAAACACGTATTTCCACCCTCCGAATCCCCTTCACTCCCGTCCCCGGAGGCTCCAGCCCCAGCCCGTCGTGGAACTCAGCTCCACGTGCGTCCCACAGTAAGGGCAGGAAGGGAGGAGCGGGTAAGAGGAGCAGGGGAGGCGGACCCTGCTCTGACTGCCCCCAACCCTCCCCTTCCTTGCCCACGGCCCGCTTTCCCCCCCTCCACACACGGCAAGAGGATGTTCTAGCTGGGAATCCGCTGATAGAAGTAGATGTAGCCCAGGTCCTTGGGGGGCTTCTCAGAAGCACAGACCTTCTGGTCATTGTAGATCACCCACCTGCAACACACAAAAGGGGGAAGCTCAGGAATGCTGTCGTATGGCAAAGACACTATGTGAGCCTCTTTGCCAGCTTGCTTCTCTCTGTCCACCATCACCTCTGAAGAAATAGGGCAGAACGGTGGCTTAAAGCTGTACTTCAGAGACCCCTTATGTCAAAACCCCTCTTACCTGCCATCTTTCTTGATGTGACAAACATAGTGACCACACATAGTCGAAGTGCCCATGTGGCTGATGAAGGCAAACAGCTGATATTCTTGTGAGGAAAAGAGAAGATAGAAAGAAAAGAATCAGATAAAGCGGAAAGGCACCACGGACCTGTGCGAGGCCCTCTAGAGAATTGCTGATGTGAGATCTGATGGAAGCTCTTCTAGGTAATAACTTAAAAATGGGTCCCAGTCAAGTGTGACTGACTTGAGGCCAAATGTACAAGGAAACATGAGATGACAACTTCCACTGAGCCTTTTCTCTTCCAAGCTCATTTGGCTCAGGTAAGCTGAACGGGTAGCGGCAGAAATTCCACCTCCCTATAGAGTCCAGGGGCAAAACTGCATTGGCATTAGAGCTCTGCAAATGGATTGGAACTTGGTTTCTCAGTGAGACCAAAGATCAGAATATGGGGGAAAAAAAAACACAGTCCTTCCTGCCTTTCATTTGACAGCACCTCCTGCCTCGCTCTTATCACCTTCCAACTAATCCCAATGCTGAAGGGTTTAGGCCCTACACTGCCACCCTTCTCCTTTTCCTCCCCGCTCCTACCCATTCAGCTCTGTGGGAGCTGCTGCTGCTAAAACCTATAGATTTACTGCATCGATTAGATTGGATGAGCTTGCACCCCAAAGCCTGCATTCATTCTGCTTGGAACTCACTTCCAGGCCCATTGCGCACTTTAGGACCAACAGGAACAGATTCAGAGATGGACTCTGCTGCCGAGCGCCCCTCTGAGATATCCATAGCAGCTTCTGCATCAAGGTCATCAATGTGACTAAAGATCCAATCCACTGCACGCTCCAGGCTGTTGTTCTGGAAGGCAAAGGAAAAGACTTGCAAATGCCTATTCCTGAGAAAATTGTTCTGCTTTGATGTCACCTGTGCCCCTCACCGTTGCTCTAAGTGCTT